CACTAATCACACTGAACTATCTCTACAGAACATAAAGTTAAATTAACTATTCTTAATCACACATAAATTATAACACTGTCACATTAGCACTAAAGATTTCCTAAACAGTCGCTATGTGTCTAAATGCAAACAACTACGGATGTAAAAAAAAACACATCACAGTCCAGGTCTCAGAGCCGTCTCCCCCAAGACCGTTCACTCTTTCCGTTTTGCCCAGTCAGCTGACAGAAAATACCCTCTGCCTATGCGTGAAAAAAAGTTAAGTGCCTATAGAGGGGGATGTCGTGGATTGTGGAAGCAGAGGAACTCATTAGCCAAATTTTCCCACTGGAACATTTCAGGCGCTGAATGGATAGGAACACCAGAAAGATTACAACAGCACATTGAGGTAATAATCAAGCTGGGCAGGTATTGTATAGAATGGAGCCAAATAGCAACTGATGCTGAAATAAGGGCCCTTATCCTTGAGTATACCTGGCCAGGGAACCTCACCATCTCATTGATCTGTGGAATGGAATCTGGGTGGGTATACACAGCACAGGTGAATAGGAAGTCGGCAAAAGTAAAAAGTCTGGCACTGAAGTCAACTACTTCTAGCATGACAATGGAGATAGTAAATGTCACAGGGGCACTTGCATGGCTGGTAGAACAGAAAGCAACTCACACACTGATAGTGACACACTCAATAAGCTTGCTTAAGAAGTCCAAACTGGCAAAATCTGACTAGAATGGCTTGACAAAATTTAGAGGTCAGGCCTCAAGAAACTATCTTGTTTGTAAATGTCAGGAAATGGTAGGAAATGAAAGAGATGAGAGACTGGCTGTGCCTTCAGTAGTTACTGGAGGATGAAGTATGAACAGGGCAGACATATTGAATGTGCTGTATTCCAGAGATGCTGAGACAAAAGAGACAGAAAAGATGAACCACCTGTTGAAAGTGGATATTAATTAAACAAGGGCAAGCATGCAGAAAATGCTCACGGGGTTAAATAAATGTGTTCTTTTATCTTTCTACTTCTTTCTATGAGTGCCGTTCACAATACTTTCTGTTACTTGATTAATTCACGGGGTTAAGAAAGAAGATATGCCAGTCAACTCTTACTGGGTCTGATGAGCACGGAGACACTGAGGTGGATGCTGCATCGGAGGACACAGCATGAGTGGATCAGACGGATGGGCTAAAACAGTAGCTCTCAATGTTCCTAATGCCGCAACCCTTTAATAAGGTTCCTCATGCTGTGGCGACCCAAAGACATACAGGTATTTTTGTTACTACTTCATAACTTCAATAAATATATGTTTTCTGATGGTCTTAGGTGACCCATTTGAAATGATGACGACGATGATGATGATGATATAATTCAACCAAAGCAACTCACCAGGATCACCACGGTTGCCCCTAATTGACACTCCTGGTTCACCAGGTTGGCCACCTAGTCCAGGAAGTCCTGGAGGACCTTGAGGGCCTCCACTGCCAGGAAGTCCTGGTTCACCAGGTGAGCCTATGTGAAAAAATAATAACCAGTTTTGTTAGTAGATCACATATTTTAATTATAATTAATAAACAAGCCAAACAATTTCTGGAGGCCTTGGAGGTCCGGTCTTGCAGAAGAATCCTTAGTCATCCTTGGACATCCACAAAGAGCAGTCCAGATGTTTTAAAAAGAGGCAACTGCTCAAAGACAACATATCACAAACATCAGAAAAAGAAGTTTATCATTTTTTGGGGTTATGTTATGAGAAGAAGGAAACTGGGAATGTTTTGGGACCACAGAAAAGTTCTGTTAAAGACTGCAGATTGTCGAGAGGCATGCTGCTCCAAGCTAGTCAACAGGGCACTTGTTGATGGTGATTTTAATTTTGAAATAGCAAAATAATAAATACAGTTAAAAACTGCACTGAAGGTAAAAAAAAAAAAATATTTTACAAATTGTCAAATTGTTAAGCTAACCGCACGTAATAGTTTGGTCACTTATACGCATATGCCTAATTTCCACAATGTATAGGCATGAGAGAGAAAATATTGAACGTATCAGTTTTCTTCACTGTGATTACATTTACCATATAACTGAAACCAGTTTACACATTAAAAAAAAAAAGTCCTATGTGTCAACATGCCTAACCCTCTTGACATCCTTAACAACAATACTGACAGGTTACAAGACAGTGACATACAACTTTTAAAGTTTTCATTTGAAGCCTTCTCGTGTGTGCAGCAATTAACTTCAAGGGCTCGGAATGCTGAAGAGGAAGAAAACAAGATAATTTAACCTTTTTTATATACTGACCTCTTCTCCCTGGAAATCCACGGTTGCCGGGTTCCCCTTCTCTGCCTCTAGGACCCGGGGATCCTTTAACTCCTTCAACATAAACCCCAGGCTGTCCCTAAATTGTAAATTTGCAATAATGAAAGTTAGCAAGGGCAATGAATGCACAACGAAAAGGGAAACCATGATGATATTCAAATAGAGTGTTACAGCTTTCTATTGAACGCTAAAAAGAAAAGGACAGGTTGGTTAGTTCCACATTCCCCCCCCCCCCCCCCCCCCCAACTAGCTCACTTTTGATTTGTAGTTCCAGAGCCGCGCGACCTTCCCACACTGCTGCGGTGGTGTTCCACAATACCGTTGATATCACTTGTTTTATATTTCAGCACGCCAGCGCTTTTAATACTACAAAAACATAAACAAACTGGGTCTAACACACAACCCCCTAGAGAGTGCTGCAACCTATGTCACAGGCATTCTCTTTCTCGGAAGAAAAACGTAAATGCAAGACAAGCCAGAAAGCAAACAACAGAGCAGCACACCCGAAACCTCCCCCCCCCCCCCAACTTGTCCCGTAAAGTAGATCAGTCCAACAAAGTTATCAATGGAACGTGACCTACTTTGTTTGGGGAGACTAACGTCGAACTAAAATATGGATCCAGCATCATATGCTCAATTTGACACTGGCATGAACAGGGAGGGTCCTTTACTTAACAACCCTGATTCTACTAATGATATTTCTCCATGCCACCATCTTGAGCCATCCATCAGAATTTTTCTTGGTCAGCCTCTACCTCTTCTACCAGTAATCTTTCCAGTGGTCACGATATTTTCTAGTGCTAATTTTCTCATCACATGACCAAAGCACTTTGTCTCATTATTATTGTATATGATGTTCTGCTTTTGTCAGCCATTTTCAGGCAATCAATGTTAGTTATTTTGGCAGTCCAAGGTACTTGTGCTGACTTGTTTATAAAATAAAGGCCGGCCCCATACACCTGAAGACATGCTATAGGGTACTTTACTTTATTGCCTATTTTAGGAATATTGTCCTTTACTTTATTGCCAATTTTAGGAATAGGGTCTTTTACTTTATTGCCTATTTTAGGAATAGTGTCCTTTACTTTATTGCCTATTTTAGGAATAGGGTCTTTTACTTTATTGCCTATTTTAGGAATAGTGTCTTTTACTTTATTGCCTATTTTAGGAATAGTGTCTTTTACTTTATTGCCTATTTTGTCTTTTACTTTATTGCCTATTTTAGGAATAGGGTCTTTTACTTTATTGCCTATTTTAGGAATAGTGTCCTTTACTTTATTGCCTATTTTAGGAATAGTGTCCTTTACTTTATTGCCTATTTTAGGAATAGTGTCCTTTACTTTATTGCCTATTTTAGGAATAGTGTCTTTTACTTTATTGCCTATTTTAGGAATAGTGTCTTTTACTTTATTGCCTATTTTAGGAATAGTGTCTTTTACTTTATTGCCTATTTTAGGAATAGTGTCCTTTACTTTATTGCCTATTTTAGGAATAGTGTCCTTTACTTTATTGCCTATTTTAGGAATAGTGTCCTTTACTTTATTGCCTATTTTAGGAATAGTGTCCTTTACTTTATTGCCTATTTTAGGAATAGGGTCTTTTACTTTATTGCCTATTTTAGGAATAGTGTCCTTTACTTTATTGCCTATTTTAGGAATAGTGTCTTTTACTTTATTGCCTATTTTAGGAATAGGGTCTTTTACTTTATTGCCTATTTTAGGAATAGGGTCTTTTACCTATTTTAGGAATAGGTCTTTTACTTTATTGCCTATTTTTAGGAATAGGGTCTTTTACTTTATTGCCTATTTTAGGAATAGGGTCCTTTTACTTTATTGCCTATTTTAGGAATAGGGTCTTTTTTACTTTATTGCCTATTTTAGGAATAGGGTCTTTTACTTTATTGCCTATTTTAGGAATAGGGTCTTTTACTTTATTGCCTATTTTAGGAATATTGCCTATTTTAGGTCTGCCTATTTTTTACTTTTATTGCCTATTTTAGGAATAGGGTCTTTTACTTTATTGCCTATTTTTAGGAATAGGAATAGGGTCTTTTACTTTATTGCCTATTTTAGGAATAGTGTCTTTTACTTTATTGCCTATTTTAGGAATAGTGTCCTTTACTTTACTTTAGGAATTGCCTTTATTTTAGGAATAGGGTCTTTTTTACTTTATTGCCTATTTTAGGAATAGGGTCTTTTACTTTATTGCCTATTTTAGGAATAGGGTCTTTTACTTTATTGCCTATTTTAGGAATAGGGTCTTTAGGAATAGGGTCTTTTACTTTATTGCCTATTTTAGGAATAGTGTCCTTTACTTTATTGCCTATTTTAGGAATAGGGTCTTTTACTTTATTGCCTATTTTTTATAGGAATAGGTCTTTTACTTTATTGCCTATTTTAGGAATAGGGTCTTTTACTTTATTGCCTATTTTAGGAATAGGGTCCTTTACTTTATTGCCTATTTTAGGAATAGTGTCCTTTACTTTATTGCCTATTTTAGGAATAGGGTCCTTTACTTTTATTGCTATTTTAGGAATAGGGTCTTTTACTTTATTGCCTATTTTAGGAATAGGGTCTTTTACTTTATTGCCTATTTTAGGAATAGGGTCTTTTACTTTATTGCCTATTTTAGGAATAGGGTTTTACTTTATTTTTACTTTACTTTTGCCTATTTTAGGAATAGGGTCTTTTTTACTTTATTGCCTATTTTAGGAATAGGGTCTTTTACTTTATTGCCTATTTTAGGAATAGGGTCTTTTACTTTATTGCCTATTTTAGGAATAGGGTCTTTTACTTTATTGCCTATTTTAGGAATAGGGTCTTTTTTTACTTTATTGCCTATTTTAGGAATAGGGTCTTTTACTTTATTGCCTATTTTAGGAATAGGGTCTTTTACTTTATTGCCTATTTTAGGAATAGTGTCCTTTACTTTATTGCCTATTTTAGGAATAGGGTCTTTTACTTTATTGCCTATTTTAGGAATAGGGTCTTTTACTTTATTGCCTATTTTAGGAATAGGGTCTTTTACTTTATTGCCTATTTTAGGAATAGGGTCTTTTACTTTATTGCCTATTTTAGGAATAGGGTCTTTTACTTTATTGCCTATTTTAGGAATAGGGTCTTTTACTTTATTGCCTATTTTAGGAATAGGGTCTTTTACTTTATTGCCAATTTTAGGAATAGGGTCTTTTACTTTATTGCCTATTTTAGGAATAGGGTCTTTTACTTTATTGTCTATTTTAGGAATAGTGTCCTTTACTTTATTGCCTATTTTAGGAATAGGGTCTTTTACTTTATTGCCAATTTTAGGAATAGGGTCTTTTACTTTATTGCCTATTTTAGGAATAGGGTCTTTTACTTTATTGCCTATTTTAGGAATAGGGTCTTTTACTTTATTGCCTATTTTAGGAATAGGGTCTTTTACTTTATTGCCTATTTTAGGAAAAGGGTCCTTTACTTTATTGCCTATTTTAGGAATAGCCTCCTTTACTTTATTGCCTGTTTTTGGAATATGGTCCTTTACTTTATTGCCTATTTTAGGAATAGGGTCCTTTATTTCCTATTTTAGGAATAGGATCTTTTACTTTATTGCTTATTTTAGGAATAGGGTCCTTTATTTCCTATTTTAGGAATAGGGTCTTTTACTTTATTGCCTATTTTAGGAATAGGGTCTTTTACTTTATTTTTAGGAATATTGTCTTTTATTTTAGGAATAGGGTCTTTTACTTTACTTTATTGCCTATTTTAGGAATAGGGTCTTTTACTTTATTGCCTATTTTAGGAATAGGGTCTTTTACTTTATTGCCTATTTTAGGAATAGGGTCTTTTACTTTATTGCCTATTTTAGGAATAGGGTCTTTTACTTTATTGCCTATTTTAGGAATAGGGTCTTTTACTTTATTGCCTATTTTTTAGGAATAGGGTCTTTTCCTTTACTTTATTGCCTATTTTAGGAATAGGGTCTTTTACTTTATTGCCTATTTTAGGAATAGGGTCTTTTACTTTATTGCCTATTTTAGGAATAGGGTCTTTATTGCCTATTTTTTAGGGTCTTTTACTTTATTGCCTATTTTAGGAATAGGGTCTTTTACTTTTTACTTTATTGTCTTTTACTTTATTGCCTATTTTAGGAATAGGGTCTTTTACTTTATTGCCTATTTTAGGAATAGGGTCTTTTACTTTATTGCCTATTTTAGGAATAGGGTCTTTTATTGCTTTTTTTTATTGCCTATTTTAGGAATAGGGTCTTTTACTTTATTGCCTATTTTAGGAATAGGGTCTTTTACTTTATTGCCTATTTTAGGAATAGGGTCTTTTACTTTATTGCCTATTTTAGGAATAGGGTAGGGTTTTACTTTATTGCCTATTTTTAGGAATAGGGTCTTTTACTTTATTGCCTATTTTAGGAATAGGGTCTTTTACTTTATTGCCTATTTTAGGAATAGGGTCTTTTACTTTATTGCCTATTTTAGGAATAGGGTCTTTTACTTTATTGCCTATTTTAGGAATAGGGTCTTTTACTTTATTGCCTATTTTAGGAATAGGGTCTTTTACTTTATTGCCTATTTTAGGAATAGGGTCTTTTACTTTATTGCCTATTTTAGGAATAGGGTCTTTTCTTTTACTTTATTGCCTATTTTAGGAATAGGGTCTATTTTAGGGTCTTTTACTTTATTGCCTATTTTATTAGGGTCCTTTACTTTATTGCCTATTTTAGGAATAGGGTCTTTTACTTTATTGCCTATTTTAGGAATAGGGTCCTTTTACTTTATTGCCTATTTTAGGAATAGGGTCTTTTACTTTACTTTAGGGTCTTTTGCCTATTTTAGGAATAGGTCTTTTACTTTATTTCCTATTTTAGGAATAGGATCTTTTACTTTATTGCTTATTTTAGGAATAGGGTCCTTTATTTCCTATTTTAGGAATAGGGTCTTTTACTTTATTGCCTATTTTAGGAATAGGGTCTTTTACTTTATTGCCTATTTTAGGAATAGGGTCTTTTACTTTATTGCCTATTTTAGGAATAGGGTCTTTTACTTTATTGCCTATTTTAGGAATAGGGTCTTTTACTTTATTGCCTATTTTAGGGAATAGGGTCTTTTACTTTATTGCCTATTTTAGGAATAGGGTCTTTTACTTTATTGCCTATTGCCTATTTTAGGAATAGGGTCTTTTACTTTATTGCCTATTTTAGGAATAGGGTCTTTTACTTTATTGCCTATTTTAGGAATAGGGTCTTTTACTTTATTTATTTTAGGAATGTCTTTTATTTTAGGAATAGGGTCTTTTACTTTATTGCCTATTTTAGGAATAGGGTCTTTTACTTTATTGCCTATTTTAGGAATAGGGTCTTTTACTTTATTGCCTATTTTAGGAATAGGGTCTTTTACTTTATTGCCTATTTTAGGAATAGGGTCTTTTACTTTATTGCCTATTTTAGGAATAGGGTCTTTTACTTTATTGCCTATTTTAGGAATAGGCCTATTTTAGGAATAGGTCCTTTTTACTATTTTAGGAATAGGGTCTTTTACTTTATTGCCTATTTTAGGAATAGGGTCTTTTACTTTATTGCCTATTTTAGGAATAGGGTCTTTTACTTTATTGCCTATTTTAGGAATAGGGTCTTTTTTTACTTTATTGCCTATTTTTAGGAATAGGGTCTTTTACTTTATTGCCTATTTTAGGAATAGGGTCTTTTACTTTATTGCCTATTTTAGGAATAGGGTCTTTTACTTTATTGCCTATTTTAGGAATAGGGTCTTTTACTTTATTGCCTATTTTAGGAATAGGGTCTTTTACTTTATTGCCTATTTTAGGAATAGGGTCTTTTACTTTTATTGCCTATTTTAGGAATAGGGTCTTTTACTTTATTGCCTATTTTAGGAATAGGGTCTTTTACTTTATTGCCTATTTTAGGAATAGGGTCTTTTACTTTATTGCCTATTTTAGGAATAGGGTCTTTTACTTTATTGCCTATTTTAGGAATAGGGTCTTTTACTTTATTGCCTATTTTAGGAATAGGGTCTTTTACTTTATTGCTTTTACTTTATTTTAGGAATAGGGTCTTTTACTTTATTGCCTATTTTAGGAATAGGGTCTTTTACTTTATTGCCTATTTTAGGAATAGGGTCTTTTACTTTATTGCCTATTTTAGGAATAGGGTCTTTTACTCCTTTACTTTATTGCCTATTTTAGGAATAGGGTCTTTTTACTTATTTCCTATTTTAGGAATAGGGTCTTTTACTTTATTGCCTATTTTAGGAATAGGGTCTTTTACTTTATTGCCTATTTTAGGAATAGGGTCTTTTACTTTTTATTGCCTTTTATTTTAGGAATAGGGTCTTTTACTTTATTGCCTATTTTAGGAATAGGGTCTTTTTTATTGCCTATTTTATTGTCTTTTATTTTAGGCCTATTTTAGGGTCTTTTACTTTATTGCCTATTTTAGGAATAGGGTCTTTTACTTGCCTATTTTAGGAATAGGGTCCTTTACTTTATTGCCTATTTTAGGAATAGGGGGTCTTTTACTTTATTGCCTATTTTAGGAATAGGGTCTTTTACTTTATTGCCTATTTTAGGAATAGGGTCTTTTACTTTATTGCCTATTTTATTGTCCTTTATTTTAGGAATAGGGTCTTTTACTTTATTGCCTATTTTAGGAATAGGGTCTTTTACTTTATTGCCTATTTTAGGAATAGGGTCTTTTACTTTATTGCCTATTTTAGGAATAGGGTCTTTTACTTTATTGCCTATTTTAGGAATAGGGTCTTTTACTTTATTGCCTATTTTAGGAATAGGGTCTTTTACTTTACTATTTTAGGAATTGTCCTATTTTAGGAATAGGGTCTTTTACTTTATTGCCTATTTTAGGAATAGGGTCTTTTACTTTATTATTTTTAGCCTCTTTTTATTTCCTATTTTAGGAATAGGGTCTTTTACTTTATTGCCTATTTTAGGAATAGGGTCTTTTACTTTATTGCCTATTTTAGGAATAGGGTCTTTTACTTTATTGCCTATTTTAGGAATAGGGTCTTTTTACTTTATTGCCTATTTTAGGAATAGGGTCTTTTACTTTATTGCCTATTTTAGGAATAGGGTCTTTTACTTTATTGCCTATTTTAGGAATAGGGTCTTTTACTTTATTGCCTATTTTAGGAATAGGGTCTTTTACTTTATTGCCTATTTTAGGAATAGGGTCTTTTACTTTATTGCCTATTTTAGGAATAGTGTCCTTTACTTTATTGCCTATTTTAGGAATAGGGTCTTTTACTTTATTGCCTATTTTAGGAATAGGGTCTTTTACTTTATTGCCTATTTTAGGAATAGGGTCTTTTACTTTATTGCCTATTTTAGGAATAGGGTCTTTTACTTTATTGCCTATTTTAGGAATAGGGTCTTTTACTTTATTGCCTATTTTAGGAATAGGGTCTTTTACTTTATTGCCTATTTTAGGAATAGGGTCTTTTACTTTATTGCCTATTTTAGGAATAGGGTCTTTTACTTTATTTTAGGAATGTCTTTACTTTATTGCCTATTTTAGGAATAGGGTCTTTTACTTTATTGCCTATTTTAGGAATAGGGTCTTTTACTTTATTGCCTATTTTAGGAATAGGGTCTTTTACTTTATTGCCTATTTTAGGAATAGGGTCTTTTACTTTATTGCCTATTTTAGGAATAGGGTCTTTTACTTTATTGCCTATTTTAGGAATAGGGTCTTTTACTTTATTGCCTATTTTAGGAATTTACTTTATTGCCTATTTTAGGAATAGGGTCTTTTTTATTGCCTATTTGCCTATAGGGTAGGACTTTATTGCCTATTTTAGGAATAGTGTCTTTTACTTTATTGCCTATTTTAGGAATAGGGTCTTTTACTTTATTGCCTATTTTAGGAATAGGGTCTTTTACTTTATTGCCTATTTTAGGAATAGGGTCTTTTACTTTATTGCCTATTTTAGGAATAGGGTCTTTTACTTTATTGCCTATTTTAGGAATAGGGTCTTTTACTTTATTGCCTATTTTAGGAATAGGGTCTTTTACTTT